ATTAATGAACCAAAGCAGGTTCACACTGATATCATTTGTTACCTGAAATGAAGAGATGGCACATTTTTCTCTGTTGTGTGCTGGAGTGGCAAACAAAGCTTTCTTTTCACAAGGGTGAGGGCCAGCTACTTTAGAATAGGACAGGTTAGCACAGGTTATGTAGCTTCCATGGAGCCAACAAAAGGGAGCAATCGTGAATCAACTCTGGAGTCTTGCGGGATTTGAAATATGAGGTGAGGATGGCACTCTCCGTGATGGTTGGGAATGGCTCTGAATGTGGCCATGAAAATATGCATTCCAAACTGTGGTCATGATACTATGGTTACAGGTAGTCCTTGCTTAACAACTGTTGGATTATGATGGACCCTCCCAGAAAGAATTTATGACCCGATTCCTAATTTCTGACAGCCACAGACACTCCCTGCTGTCACATGATCACATTTAAGTGTTTGGCAACTGGCTTGCATTTACAGTTGTTTTTAGCATTTTATTTTATTTTATTTTTATTTTATTTATTTTATTTTATTTTGCTGATTTCTGACATTTATTTCCATTTTCTGGTTAAAAAATACACTTTGAATAAAACGGATTTGTTTAATAACTGCAGTGATCACTTACCTACCAGTACTTTTGCCTCAAAACTGTTGTATGTATGTATATGTATATGTGTATGTATGTATGTGTATACATACATACATACATACATACATACATACATACATACATCATACATACACATACACCATCTGCAGAGAACACTTCTGGGTTAACAATACAGAATATATACGCACCAAATAAACATTTCTTTCCCATCTTTCCACCCCTTATACTGTGCTTATATTAACAATTTATATTCCAGGATTAATAAATGCAATTGATTTACAGAGACTAAATCCCCCACAAATTGCATTAGATTGTCACAAACCTTTCTAAACTGACCTCAGATTACAAATTAAGTAGTTTAAATTCTCTTAGTTTTGAAAATGTTTGTAGAAATCACATACCAACATATAATTATGCTGGAATTATGAAGTACAAATTACATATAGCATGCTACAGGTAGTTCTTGATTTAAGACTACACTTCAAACCAGAATTTCCACTACTAAGCAAGGGGGCTAAGTGGATTTCAAACGATTTTATAACCTTTCTTAGCACGGTTGTTAAAAGAATCCCACGGTCATTAAGCAAATTCAGCTTCTCCCACTGACTTTGCTTGTCAAAAGCCAACAAATGGAAGGTCGCAAATGACAATCATGTGAGCCCAGTATGCCACAACTGTCATAAATACATGCCAGTTGCCAAGTTGACCCAAATTTTGATCACGTGACTCTGAAAATGTTGCAACAGCCGTAAAAGCAAGGACCAATTGTAAGTCAATTTTCAGTGTCACTGTAAATTTGAACGGTCACTAAATGATTGGTTGTAAGTAAAGGACAACCTGTATCAGACGTTTTCTATGTTTAATATATAAACTATATGAAAAAAAATCCACAAATGTTAGGTATGTATTTGCATCTGAAATACAGTTCTTATTGGATCTGGAGAATGGTGGGGAAAAAAGCGAACACATCTACTTAAAACAATAGATATTGAAGCTGGGCTACAAGTATTGTTCTATTTCTAGAAATATGTGACAACAGAATTCAAACTCACACAAAATCTGGAAACCTTTGAAAGATTGTGGAAATGCTGTTTGTAAATTAGCTGAAACCAAATCAGGAACAATTCATTATGTTTTTCAAAGCTTCCAAGATTGATTCCTAGAGCAGAGAACAGCAATGTTTGAACGAGAAGGTGCCAAAGCATCCTGGTACAGTTGATTTAGATCCTATAATGTAAGACTGTGCAAGGGATCTTTTTAGGTAGTCAGATGAGCAAGGACCAAAGGATCCTGCTATTGTTTTAGACCACATATGATTAACTTTGGGAGTTTATTTCTTTATTTGACATAGCAATGACAATTTGGCTTTTGGAGTGTTAAGTTTCCCATAAGAAAGTTTTGCATGTCAGAACTGCAGATTACACCCTCTTCCTACCAGTTTCTCTATGATATGGACTGATGATTAACAATGGAACTAGTACTGTAGCTATTAAACAATAACAAGTATGGAGCACTTTATAGTTGCCATCTTGTGAATAGGGAAACTATGTAGCAGCCTATGCCTGTTAAAATCATTGTCTTGAAGTATGAATTTTTAGTGTAAGGTTTTTCAGGCTACTCTGAATTAGCATTTTTCTTTTCTATATAATTCATGTATCTCAAGAATCCTTGAATCTTTTTATATTCAGTAAAAGTTCATTATTAATGCATCCTATCAAAAAATGCTACAAGGGTGTCCCCTGCAGGACAAGAACACATCATACCGTATGAATGCAGATAAAAGAATGTGAGGATTTTGGAATAGATTAATAACTGTTCCTTGTAGAAAGTTGAAAAGTTCAACTTTGTAGGCTTAGATAAAACCAGACATTCAGTGGACATTGTTAGCTACTTCCCTGTCTCGACAATGTAATGATCAGAAAAACAAACAACACTTTAAAATACAGCCAACACTTTTATTTAAAAATGATTCATCTGAAATGGCAACTGACTAAAAAGACATTTGTACAATAAAGTTCTTTAAAAAAAAAAGCTAAGAACATAATAACAGTTCTATGGTTATTTAAAAGAAGGCTTTGGATTTGATGTTGAATTCCTATGTTTTGGCTGACACCATCGTACTTTGATTGAGACACACAACTTTATTTGAACTGAGTGGAGTAAATGAGTCAGTTGCTACTCCTCTAGTACCTTTTCTATTGATGCTTCTAGTTGTCAGGACTTCAAAGGTTGCCAGCTTTTTAACTCATTCTCTAACACATCAACATTTGCCCACACTGACATGGGGTATAGACATCATTTACTGGCACTGAAGGCAGATATATAGGAACAGGCTTAACTTTCATTAATGAACTGCTTGCCTCTCTTCAGCCAGTTGTACACAAGGTCCTTTTTTCAAACAGTCCTGTAACCCTTTAAGTCTATAAAATGCTACTCTAATATATTAATACACAGCCTTAGATAACCTTAGATAAACTTAGATAACCTTAGATAATCTTTGGCCTGCAAACCTAAGAGATGTTCTTACTTGAATATGACAAAGTCCTTAAACAACTGCAGCATTTACATTTGTGTGCATTGAGGGCATCAAAGAACAACACAGGGTTTTACACAGTTGAAGATTTCTAGAGATTTATTTCTGCTGCTAATCCTGACTTTCCACCCACTTTTGCAGTCTATTTCCTGATGTAATCCAACAAGAGGCATTTGAGTTCTAGATGCCAAAAAATAAATACTGTATATGATAAGCTAGTCAAATCCTTAGATGTATTCTTAGAACTGAAGTTGCATACCCATATGAGAAAAGGGCTTCTGATGGGTGGAGCAGCCTATATATGTGGTTCAGAAGAGAAAGAGCTCTGGCTAAGATGCTGTAAAATAACCCAGGCACAGGTAGAGCAGTAAGATTGTCACTGACTTCATGAATGCTAGCCAATCAGTATTGAAACATCTATCAATATAAATGTTAGCTAAAGCAATGGCGTCCAACCTTGGCAACTTTAAGATCTGTGGCTGTCTGGGGAATTCTGGAAGTTGAAGTCCACAATGTTGCCAAAGTTGAACACTCCTGATCTAAAGCCTGGATATTTTCTTTGTGGTAAATGATGCGTTTGTTGCCAAGGCAACGGTTTTGGCCCATCATAATGGGAACCCATAATGGGTTCCTGCAACAAGCAAATAATTAAGATGCATACCTGTTGCACAGTATCATGATTGTCTGGAATGGTGCTCAGATACCAAGCCCACTAAACAGTTTCAGTATTTTCCTGACAGTAGCTACTTAACAGTGATGTTTTCTGTTCATATATATCTAATCATGAAAAATTACTTCTATTCAAGAATACAATATAGAAGCTGGTATGTTTGGTGAAGAATCCATGCTAACTTTAAATGAGAATTTCTGTTGTATTTCCTGAGCTTAATACATCAACTCCTGCATTGTGAGTCCAGCTCCCGTATTGTACAGTGAAACAGCAGACCCTGGAGGTATATAGTGGAGGGAATAGAAGAGATAATGCTGTATGTCTCCACATATACCGTACTCACTATATGCCTCCTAAGCTAATTTACTGCCATCGGAGTTATTTAGCAACATGTCAGCATTTGGTTTTTCTGCATGGAATTATGCAGGGTGGAAAGGCTCCTTGTAGTTCTTCCCTTTAGGCAGCAATATAGTTACAAGACTCTTGCTACTTTGCTCTAATTGAACTTTGTTTATTAAAAAGGGTAATAAGATACCTTTCAAGGGTGGGTGAAATTCCTTTCTCTCCCAAATCATGTCTATGTGTTTACATTAGATTAATTCCTCCAGTGAAACTGACCTCAGAGAATACAAAGAGATGCTTAGTTCCTATCCTGAAGTATTAATGTCCCTGAAGTGCAGTGGAATCATCCCTTGCCTTAGACACATTTTACATATTACATTGTGAATCATCTTTAAATGTGTGCAACTACAGGTGTTTAAAGAATGAACTCATCTGTGTTATTTTTCCAAAAGTAAAGCTCATAGCCATGCACAGTGATCAGAACAGATCCCTGTACCCAATGGATTAAATCTTCATGTTGCCCACTCTTAAACATTTATGGGCAAACTCTAATACAGGGGTAGTCAACCTTGGCTCTTTTATGACTCGGGGACTTCAACTCCCAGAATTCCTGAGCCAGCTATGAGTTCCTGTGTAAATAAAGTAGATTTTTATTTGTGCTTTTGATTCAGTATTGACTCCTGGCAACTGCCCATACTAATGCCTGAAGTTTTCTTGCCAAGATGAAGTGGTTCACCATTGCTTCCTTTCTAGGGCTGTGAGAGAGTGACTGGCCCAAGGTTACCCAGCTGGACTTATGCCTAAGGCAGGGTTAGGACTCACAGTCCTCTAATTTCTAGCCTGATGCCTTAACCATTACACCATACTGGCTCCCTTAATAAAATAATGGCATGTTCAAATCCATGGATCATATAATATCACTATGCAGAGCAATAGGTCACTATATCTGAAATTAGGGCATCTGAATAAGCCTGGTGTGCCAGCTAAACGTTCAAACTGGAGCACCTAACCCTTTCTCAGGTGGATGTTGTGTTGGGCAGAACAGCTGCATTTAATTACAATTCCACAGAAGTGTCATTCAAATTTGCATCATTGGTTAGGAAACCGTCTCTGCTAAAGAAATGGCTGGTGTGAGGCTCAACTTTCCCTCCTCTGTCTCCTGCCATGCCTTGGTATGCTACAGAAATATTAAACATGTCCAATTAAAAGTCATTTAACAACAAATCCTAGACTGTGCAGCGATAAAACACCATACTAAAAGTAGACAAAAGCTTCCTTATGTACAGCAACAGTTTCAGGATACCAGTAAGGTTAGAAGTACTGTTTCCATTTGGGTTATCTGTCCTATCTACACAGTGCAAGTCTGCTAAAAGGAGCAACAGCCTTAGTCTAAGGGAGGCCACACTGGCAACTGGCCAAGGTCCATTGTTTCTTCCAGACAGTATGATACAGTTCCCCACTTGCCATGCTCTCTTCATCTGGACATTTTTGCTACTGGCAGTAGGCTTCTGTAGTCCACAAAGAGCCAATTTGAATCTTCAGTCTGTTCTTGAGGCTAGGATTTCCTAACTAGCACCTTTCTTTTCCCATTCCTGAAAAGAAAAGGAAGAAAAAAGTGCTCATTATCTTGTGTAGTTGCAATTACTTTCCACAGTGTTTTTGTTTATTTCTCTATCTAATCTACAGACCTGATATTTCATGGTGGTCTCCCATCCAGGTGCTACTACCAACTGCAATGACCGACCAAACCCCAAATGCTAATTTGGTGGATTTTGTTTTTTGTTTTGCTACATAATTCCAGTCGTTATGCTTCCTAGATGCCTTACCTTTGCTTTCTGCAAAACTGTTCCTTTCCCTGTGACCATGACAGATAAAGGGCGGTTTTTTAATGCCACTGCTGAATTGACAGGTGAATTTTCTGGATTATTCGTAGGATTAGCAACTTTCATCTATATTTAAGGGGAAAAGAGAATAGTGACAACACGAACTTTACTATTTTAATTGTACATTTTATCAGTTGCATATCAGAGTTCATGGAATCTTCTGATTGTGGATATGTGGGGGTCGAATATAAATTAATGTTGCATTTGATCTTGGCAATTTATTGAAACTTATTCTGGTGTTTTGCTTTCATGTAGCAAGAATGAAGCCAGAATTCTTTCCAATTTTGGCCAAAGTACTAATGAGCCACATGGGTATTGTATGTCTTACAATATCAGTGAAGCAAGAGCTCTGGCTTTGTCCTCATGATCTTCTGGTGAATTGAAGGCCTATACTATTAACTATTACATTTTTTAAAGTATGAGAAAAGATTCAATCACAGAACTCTTGCCCCACATATATATGAACAAGTTGTTGACAAGCATCCTACCACTTCTCAAAGTGACATGCTACATACTTTGGGACTTGCATTTTCCATGTGTGTGGTATCCACTGTGGTGCCAAGTGTAACTGGACCAGACTCTGCTTTCCTGAGATTCTCTTTTGCTTCAACAAGTCTCAGCTCCAAGTCAACACGCTGATCTTCTTTCCTCTTACACTCTTCTTCTATCTCTTTTAGCTTCTGTTCCATTGTAGACAATTTATTCTTATCTGCCAAGGAAAGAGTAGAGATATAGAAAATGCTATCACTTATCCATGTCATATCTCTCTCTCTCTCTCTCTCTCTCTCTCTCTCTCTCTCTCTCTCTCTCTCTCTCTCTCTCTCTCTCTCTTTGTGTGTGTGTGTGTGTGTGTGTGTGTGTGTGTCTATCATATATATGGGCATTTTTTGGACCATTACATTCTTCCAAGAGAGAAAGTTTAGGGACAATTGTGGAGAAAAGAAGAGCTACTTATCAAATGAATCAAAATAGTGGATCTGTTGTTCTCCAGAACAACAGATGAAGCTTCTGAAGAAGAAGCAACATCAAACAGGGCAAGAACCTGCTGGTAACTCGGCCATCATCCGGCAGTCTCATAAAACACAATCACATCACTTAAATGCTTAAAAATGATTGCCTGTTCTATGCCAGGCACCAGGGAGTGAAAATAAGATGAGCAATGGAAGTTTACCTGAGCAGTTCATCAGAATCTCTTTCAGCTCCCTTTTCTCTTTTCGAAGCTTTGCCAGCTGAGAACGGATTTCTTCTTTGTCTTTCTCCAAACGGTCTCTCTCCTCTGAATATCTCTTCACTTCAGCCTCTGTCCTGTTCTTGCCTAGTTTTGTTTCTACAGGGGCTGTGAATTTAGTTTACACTCTCTTAGTGAAGGAACCTTTTCCAGTGACAAAAACTACAAACACTAATACAAATGTCGAATGCAATTGAAAAAAGAGTAACAGCAGATCTACATTTATCTACTGAGCTACTTGAAGTGCTCAGACCCAAAAAACTGACCTGACTACACAAGCCTTCTGTAACCATTAGGCACTACTCTGTCCTGGCCTGCTGTCATGCAAGAGGGAGAAAGTTCAGTACATTAAGAAGGTATCAGAGAAATAATAAAAGATGCCCCAAATTAGCCTGCTGTTCACTAAATTCTTGCTAACAATTAGCCTATAGATGTACCGCAGGTATATGACTTAACAAAGTGTGGCCATAAATAGAGATAATCCACCTGCATCATAAAAACTTGAACTAAGGAGATAGTATTGCGGTCACCATACTTACCTGTATTCATCACTTTGAGCTTTTCTGTTTTTTCCTTTGGTGCAGCCATTACCACAGTGGGGTCACTCTGAGGAAATATAATTTGCTGCTGTTGTGTCTGGATTTTTATTGTACCTGTCCATGGAGATGGCAGTTCATCTATGTCGGAAGGCCTCTGCTTGAGAAAAAAGATGAGAAGAGCCAATTTGGTCTAGTGGTTAAAGGTCAGTCTAGAAACCAGGAGACTGTAAGTTCTAGTCCTGCCTTAAGCATTAAAGCCAGCTGGATGAGACAGTCACTCTCTCTCTCAGCCCAACCCACTTCACAGAGTTATTATTGTAGGGAAACTGGGAGGGGAAACTAGTATTAGATTGATCTCTCTCTGATAAGGCTATCCAAAGCCTTAAGCAGATGCATTTCCCATTACCTTTGTATAACATTTCATTACCTTTGTATTTCAATTTCTATCATTCCAGATGTTCATACTATTAAAAATATTGGGAACTGCCGATGCAGCGTGTGTGGAATGTGTCAGTCAAGGGAAGAGCATTGTAAGAATAAAACTTTATTACGGTGTAGTACCTGTTCTGGAATTTCCATTGCACTTCTGTTTAGCTCTGGTTCTTTTTGCACCATGGCTGAGTCTTTTTCAAAGTCCACTGAGCTCTTGCTCATAGATCTTTGTAAAGGGGGAGACACTGAAGGAGTAGTCTGACCCTGCTTTGAGCCAGCTCCGTGCAGCAAGGATTTCATTGGAGTGAGGTCTAGATAGACTCTGTCCTGTTCCCCTTCACATTTACTTCCATTTGGAGGCACAGGATCCTATAAAAGAAGGCATGTTCCAAATAATAATTCCACTTAAGGAAACAAATTCTGTTTCCTTAAGTGCACATTTCTATTTGACAGTCTGAATTCAACACTGTTACATATAATGTGGATTTACATTCACTCATGACTTTATAATAGCAATCCAGCACAATTTTCTTTAAATATTACTGACAAAAAAAATCACTTTGCAACCCCCCCTCCCAAATTTCAATATTGCTGCTTAGAATGATAAACAAACTGGCCAATTCTGCAAAAAAACCTCACCATGGTGGCCTCTGGAATGTCCACATCATCATAGAGTTCTTCTTGGTTCCCCATTCTCTTTGGCAGGTTGTCAATGTAAGTGTTGGGTTCAGAGTGCTTTCTTTGCATTAAGCTGAAAAACATGAAAGCAAACATGCTATCATAGGGTTTCAAAGCATCACCAGCAGTAACAGCTCTTAGATCCTGACAGTTACTGTCTATCTTTGGGTGTGGCAACTGCTCCTGACTTCATCTTCTACCAGACACCCAAGTCCAATGAAGCAGTCACCATGTAAGAGTCCAATGAAGCAATGTACAACAAAGAGCAAAACACTGGTTCCTATCAGCAAGAGACAAAGTATGTCACACACCTGTGTAATCACGCAACAAGGGGTCCACTACAGTTTCCCAATAATTTTAATTTTGATTCCAAATGTTTCAGTCTCAAAATATTTGGTGGGCTTCAGGTTGGAAAGTTAAAGAAATGGGTGGCTACAGAAATCAAATAAGTAAATGAGATAAATACAATTGTTGTATTTATTTGAAATACAATAATTTCTATTTTCATTCATTTGTTTTCCCCACATACTTTCCTTAAAACAGTGGGAAATTAGGATTTTCTCCCTGTCCACTCACTCTTTTTAGGGATGAAATCTTCATTCAAAGGTTGCCTTTTGGGAACATAATATGGAAACTAATCATTCACCTATTTACCCTTTCTTTTTTTTTTCTTTAGTATGCCAGTTTCATTTTAATGCATCATATATGGGCTATATTTCATAGTACTGTTTATTTTCAAGTAAAAAAAACAAAAAAATCCCAAATACTTGTTTAGCAGAGTCAACAGATATACTAGGAAACCACCAAAAGGAAACAGATTCTGAACGGCAAACATGCTAGTATTGTAACTTACAATAATGAGTTTTTTGCTGCAGAGACAATACAGGAAATTCGATCAGCATCAACGTAATCATAAGTAAGCTCCTCGGGATCCGTTTTAGATCCAGATTCTGACAAAAGGACACCAAGCCAGTGGCCCATTTCTTCAGAAGATTTTGTCTATTAAATAAATGAAAACAGAGCCAACAATTATAGTTATGGTTCAAATCTCTTCTAATCAGTGGTTTAGTGAATCTCTAATCAGGGGACTGTTCTAATCTAATGGCTTGGATCTAAAGAAACATTAGAAGTAAGCAGAACCAAAAACAAATGTTGTACTTTTATCCACTCAGCAATGCCCCAAAAATATTTTCTGAAGAGTTGAACTATTTGGCTAAATAGGGTGAACACACAAATTTGCTCATTGTTCAAAGAGTCCTTACTTAAGAGAAGACAGAATTAGGGCGGGAGAAGAAAGTGAGGAAATTATGTTCTGCCCAGATGGAAAGGAAATCATGTGCTTGAAATTCAATAATTTACAGACCCATATAAACATTTAATTATTTAAATATTTGTGAAAATTTGTCCTGAATAATAAATGAGAGTTTAGTTGCCCAGGCGGAATAAATATGCCAGAATTTCGAAAAAGCGTTTCATCTAAAGATCTTTCTCTTTTTCCCCCAGAAGGTGGCACCAATTTGATGTTCTAAATATTTCTGTACCAGATGGGTCCTAAAATAAATGCTTAAATTTAGTGGTGAAACAAGGAAAGCATCACAGGCGTCCTCTACAATCGAGGGAAAAAAATGCTGTAACATGCAACATGTTACAGACTCCAGGTTTTTTGTATTTGTATTCTGATGTCAGATGCCACCCATAAGTAAAAAGGGTTTGTGTGAGCCTATGGATGCCTACAGTATATTCAGTAAGCACCATGAAAAGTGAAAAACAATTTTATAATTTCTAGTTGCCTTGAACTAAACTGATGAATCTATATGGCACCTTAACTTGGTGAATGAAACTAGTTTGAAATGACTGTTGAAGTCATCCTTATTCTGGCTCCATCACATTCAGCAATTTGTCTGCTAAAAACAAAACAATACTTGGAGTCTCTGGCAATCCTACCCTTGGCTGAAAATATTCCTCCCACTACAAAATGCAGGAAATTTGTCACATTTTCCTCCTCCTACTCAAATGTTGCTGATGTCAGAGAATCTAAGATTAGCAATAAACAAAAAACAAGAACAACTCTGAGTGAAAGTAATAGAGGTAAGCAACTTGTTTTTGAAATCAACTTTTCCTCCAGGAGAAATTAAACTCCTATAAACTCCCTTGAGTTATATTTAAAATTGCATTTATTACTTGTGCAGTCAAAAAAAAGGAAGTTACAAGATTAGAATTAAAAGATAAAATTTGAATTTATACTGTACATCACCATATATAATGTAGATAGTATACTACTTTGGGCAGAACTCTAGAAGTGGGGAGGGGGGAGTAAATATTGCTGACAGTATTCAATGTCACAAATTGTTTTTATGTGTGCATAAGGTAAAACTGCACCAGCTAACGACACATTATATTGCAGGGTGCAGCACTTGCAATCTGTGGACAGCCTGCGAACCTTGGCCTAATTTTAGATACTCCCACAGTTATTTTACTTTCTTGTTCCTTTTTTCCCCTTGCCTCCAGCATTCTTGACCTCACAATATCATTCCTATGTTATAAATTTAAAGTACTTTCTTTCCTATGTGTGTTTGTAGGCATGAGTAAGAGAGAGAATATGCCATTTGGAAGTAGAACTAGGGTGGAAACAGTCAACACGAAGAAAAGAAATTGGGCCCTTAGCCTGAACTTTTTTAAAAAATTAAAAAAAACACTAAAAAGTGATAGTGGGAGGTAGAACAAAAGGTCCTGGGCAAAGAATCATTTGAAGCGCTTCATATTTATTTATTTTTGAATGCACCGTTGACTTATTGAACTATAAAACTGCTGATGTAGTGCTCAACATATTTTTTTGTTACAGTTCTAACAACATGCCTATTATTTTAAGCATTGCCAAATATAGAGTGGAAACATACAGGGTCAATCAATGAAAAAAGCTTAAGATTTCTATAGACTTTAAAAGCAGGGTCATCTAGGAAGCCAATGAACCCAACAAAGAAGGAAGTAAGGGGAGAATAAGAAAAAAGGACATGAAGAGTCCCGCTTATTGTAAATTTTGACCCTGTTGTTATACCAGCATCATAATCCAAAGATTATTTTCTCCAAAGGAATAGTCCTTAAGGAGAAAAATGGTTCTATACTGTTGTGCCCTGCATCTCTTTCTGGGAAGTCAAATGTTGGAGACTTATTGCTAGCGTTATTTTCTTGCTGTTTAAAATTACACTATAGCTACTATTTTAATTACAGGTATTATTTTCTCACGATAAGTTTACCTTTTGGATTAATTTGGCCGAAATATAAGGAAAACAAATTAAAAGTTCATTTTGCTCTCTCTTGTGCTTTCTGTATTATGTTTTTATGCAATTCAATGAAATAAGCTTTGGATAGGTAACATAAGTCATTTAAAGGAAGCTCAATGGCTACTAAACTGTGTTTACCAGCTTCTGGAGAAAATGACATCCATACCTCTAACATGGCCAATTCTTCACCATTGTGTAGGATACGAAATGAGTAGACATGGTCAGGGCTTGGGTCTGGGATGATTTCACAGCCCACCAAGTTCAAAGGTTGTTGAGCTGTTTTGTTTCTGTTTTTGTCCTGGTAAAAGTGGAGCTGGCCATCCTTCACATGGCACCAGTAGGATTTCCATTGGCTGTTCACCAGTACATTTAAATATGCTGCGAAGAAAGAAATGTTGTTTTAATAATATTTTCCTTCTTAATGGAGCCCAGAATACTCTTTCAATCCCCTTCAGAGATGATATGTTGTCAGTGGATAAGAACATGCTGACATAAATAATTTTCTTGCCCAAGGTAAGGTGCTAAACTAAAAGGCCTCTAAGACTACTTCCAACCCTACAACATGATGAATATGTTAGTCAAACCATCATACAAACTGAGATACAAATTCTGATATTAAAAAGCACATATTGTAACTAATTAATTACTTGATAACAGCACAGCCATCATCATCCACCTTTCATCCCCCAATCAAATACAACCTATGCTATGTAAATAACCTATGGCTCAATGGTCAAAATTTGATTTTGGATTACATTTTGAGCAAAAACAACAAGAAGAATCTGGATATTTTGTTACAACAAAGTTTAGAGTGACTCTGAAAATTCTCCCAAATGTGTTACTGTACATTCTATGGATTTTTACAAGACCTAAAAGAGCACTTTCTATTATTTCCTATTATTTTCCAGTCACAATGGATATATTAACGTTCTCTTTTGCATCATTCTCTGGGATTGTCTTCCCTGCAGGTGGTAGCAATTCAAATAAACACAGAAAAGTATGTGCATTTCATAAAAGTTACTTACTGCAAGTATCCAGAGATCTTTCTGGACTGTCCATGGAGGCAGACTTCTTTCTCCCAAGATTCATCAGGTTGCTAAATTTTAACCCAGGTGTGCATTTCTTCTTAGCTAAATAATTAAAAAGCTACATATTAAAGTTGAAGAAAATGATCATTATAAAATGATAACCTACTTATGTGCCTGAAGATATTTAGCTGATCTCGACTGAGTGATATTACCTTGATAATTATGAAATATGTACTTGTAGAGACAAGTATTCAAAAAGGGAAGAATGAAAAGTACACTTGTGTTGTTGGAAAAAATGCCTCCTATTTTAAGTCAGCCTGGAACAAAACAGAGCTTGTTTTTCATACCATTTCTTTCCTGCTTTCACTTGAGCCATTTTAAGGTACAGTAGGTTAGATAGAATGTAACCAACAGCACTGTACACCAAATGTGCAGATTGTCCCATACTAAAAATATGCTGATGTGATTGTTGACACAACCTTATAATTTTCTGCTGGGATTGAAGTATTTGTATCTTTTAAGTAATTTCTGAACCCACTATGTCAGGGGTGTCAAACGTGCAATGTCACGTGATGTGTTGCGACGTATTGTGACTTTTTTTTTCCATTGCTGGCAATGGGGTGGGCGCGGTTTTGCTATGATGCATCCGGCCCGCGGGCCAGCAGTTTGACACCCCTGCACTATGTCCATAAAATTGGATTTTGATTGGGCTAAAATAGGCCCACCTGTTTCATGTCTGCACAGCTCTCCCTCAAAGTTGTATGAAAGCATCATCCAACAGCCCTTGAGCTGGCAGAAAAGTATGGTAGAATAAACTGTGCTGCCCCCATTGCTGATCCTCATTCTGTTGTGGTAATGAGGCCAATAATTGGTGAGGTCCTTAATTATTGTGGCCAAGGAAGGGAACAGAAATGATGGATCCTGCAAATTCATCTCGCGCCCACCAAGTATGTAACCCTCTCTCACCCATTCTGATCCCCATAGGAGAATATGGGACAAGTTTAGAACAGTGGGATTAGCAACTAGTGGCAGGGCTCCCTCCAGAGAGTTTGCTCAGTGTCCCCATAACCTTTTCTGCCTGTTAGCTATCCTAAAGCTATTTCTGTGTATCGCTAAAGCTGGGTTCTAAAAGATTGAATGGTAACAGCACAGAGGAGAAGCAGAGGGGTGAAATATTTGATAGCTGTATAGCAGGCTATTTTGTGGGCAGAAATAATGCTCTTTTGAAACAGCATTAATCCTTATTTTTTTTTATAAAAAACCCAGCAAATCATAGATAAAAAGCACAGACGGGCATATGGGATGAAATGGGAGGACCTGATCCCATAACTAGTGCTGCAAGAGAATGGTAGTACATTCTAACCTCAGAATTAGCAATACCAGAAAGTAGCTGGGGGATGATCATGCAGAACCTATGTGCCAGAGTAGACTTCTAGAATTTTGTCATTTTGCTTATCATAGTATTTAGTGTCACCAAACAGTTACCATAGCATTTAGTGTCACCAAAGTCAGAATGAAGTACTATTGGATTTTTAATCAACTTTTAAAAATAAGGAAAGGCCAATTTAAATATATTTTTTAATCTGTTTTAATTTTTTTATATTGTATCAATTGTTCTGTTTTAATTGGCTGTAAGCCGCCCTGAGTCCACCAGGAGAAGGGCGGGATATAAATGCAATAAACTTAAACTTAAACTTAAACTTAAAATGAGATTGCCCCTCCCAAAGGCAACATAAGTAAGTGGAGTTACAGATGAAGGAACTACTGCTATATAACTCTGGCCCTGGGAACATTCACCAGTCAGGAGGAAGTTGCATTGTTCCTCAAAAATAATGATGACAATAAAGAGTAAAAAATACAGCTATATAAAATCCTTATCCACTGTAGCAGAAGAACACCTTCAGAGCCCCTACTGGCAGGACACACCCAACTGTCTGTTTACTCTTTCAAAAGAATTGTAATCTTGTTTAAAAATCAGGTCTACAGCTCTTTTAGAAGCATGCTAGATGCATGTTTTTAAGATCAGCTCTTCAGAAACTCCAGTTAAATATTCCAAGGGAAGATGACTGCAGAAGGCAGGCATCTGCCACCCATTCCAAAATGGCCGTGGAGAGCAACTCACAATAACTAGAGAAAAGAGATATGCCTGCAGGAGCCTAAAGCAGCAAACTGAGCAGATCCTAGCTCCAAACCACATCATCAGCTAAATGATTGGTAAAGTGTGCCAGATCATGTCTACAGCAAAAATTGTGTTGGGAGAAGAGGCCATTTTCAAATGCCTCAGTTATGGGCTGGGCATGAGACAAAAGCCACTTAATGAGTACATGGCAGAAAAAAAATGCTAAAGCATGGTTATGGTTGCAGGGAAGTGAGAAAGACTTTTGTGATTAAAAGCTGAGTTATTTTCCTTTGAACGATCCTCTTTTCTGTGGAACTGGGGAAAGTGTTTGCAAGCATTCCTTTTCAAGTATTTGCAAAGCTCCTCAGGTTTTTACAACAAACTGCAAGGAATGACTGAAAACTCAGATGAAGCCTGTTGCAAATAGAGGGTATTTACCTGGTCTTAATGTGATTGTCCTTTCTGTTTCTATTTACACTAAATCTTTTATTGCAATCTTGATGTAACTTTAATTCTTGGGATAAATACACACAATACTTCATATAAGCAAGCACATAACTGCAGTATATATTCTTGGCATGTAAGCTCTTGATCAATTAGGTTAGGTTTACTGCAGTTGACCAACAAATTAATAGAGCTGCTACAAGCTTTAGGTTTAGGTTTACTGTAGTTGATCAACAATTTAATAAAGCTGCTACAAGCTTCTGGCCTACTGATATTGTTTCTAATGTTTCAGTTCCAGAAAAAAAAAGATTACTCAGTTAATAATCAAATGCAAAACATGTTTTCTTTCAAATTCCAGCAAGTTAAATGAAATTTAGTTTCAGATAAAAATGTCCCCTCTTTATGATATTATTCTGAGTGGCAACATTTTCTCTCTGTATTGAGAGAAGGAATTATGATTCCTTTTTTAATATTCCTTCCTTTGGGAAGAGTTCAAAGCTTAGCAGAAGAGCATAAGCATTTTACACAGAAAGTCCCATATTTGATTCCTAGTTTTTAATTAAAATTTCAGATAGGAGGAGAAGTAAAGGATCTCTTTTAGCTCAAAACCCTGGACAACCATTGCCAGTCAAAATAGATACCGGTAGTAGTAGATTGGACCGATAAACAGGTATATGGAAGTTTTCTATGTTTTACAAGGTCCTCTTTCATTATCCCTGGTAGAAGCTACATAGTTTAATTAGTGTGGACAACAAATTAATTTGGCAGAGAAGCTCCTCTATCCAATTCTATTTCAACCAGGAAATCTGCAAATTCAACATACAGCAGAGAAAGCTGCTTTAATTTATCTCTTCCTCCTAATTCAAATTCCTCCTGCCCAGAATCTTCCAGTTGTCATGGGATTACAATTCCCAACATCTATGAAAGATACTAGATTGGGGAAACTTTCTGAATTCAAAATCACGTTACCATCTTTTGTTTCCATCAGCTCTATGTGACCATCAGCGTTGCTTCCAGTCTCTGATGGCTCCACCTGCAAAGAACAAAGCACAATCTCCATGACTAAAGTTGAGAAAATTATAACATACTGGACTGAAGAACTTTTCTGCCTGTTGGAAACTTATATTTTATGTTTAGAGCAATGTGAGAAAATGATGGATAGTACAATATAAAAGCATGAATATTGATGTATCTATTGCTCTTGGAATGTTATCAGATTTGCAAATCCTCACTAAAAAAAAACCAACTGCTTCTTTTTTATTTGACTTTGGGCAAATAGCAACACAGCTTGATTGGAACACCAGGCACACGAATGGAGAAACTTGATCTTTCCACCAAGCTTCCTCTTTCATAAGATTAATTGCCCAATGGTTGATTGATTGGCTTAAAAACATGTTCATTTAATTATAATACTGATATTACAATATAAACAAATAACAGTATGTTGTATGAAATGTACTTTTACTCTCAGTTTAATTCACCCAAGCATTCTTTTTAATGAACCAGCAAGAAATCTATTGAGGAAAGAAATGTTTACTATATCCAGGAAAATAGAGCTCCTTTGGGAGACATAAACATCACAGAATTCTGAATGTAAAATCATTCTGAATTTTGAAGAATTAATTAAAGTAAGAGGAAAAAGTCTTTTCATGGTAGCCAAGCCATGTGGAAAAGTAATTTCAAAAAGCTCCTTGGCATCAATTGTCAAAAAAGTGTGTCAGATACCACCCAAATAATAATCAGATCACTCCCTAAAACTCCACAAGAGCTAGCAACTTCTTGTGAATATTTAAAAGCATATAGAACCCTGCAGGGCTGAATTAAGTGGCATAATGTAGTGGAACAGCCTAGTAGTACTATTTTAACCTCTTCTGCTGGATGGAGATATCTAGGATTGTAGAGTTAATGATTTGCCTCCCAAAGTCATTTAGTTCCCATTCCCACCCTTAAAAAAATTGTTGGGTTCATAAATGAATAAGTTAAGTCACATCCATGGAAACTGAACACCATTAATCATTTTCATAGAACAAGTCCAAGTTGGAATAGAGGTAAGCAATATAATCAGCAAATTGTTTTGCAAATGTATCACAGCAGGTTATTGAGAACACTCCCTTCTCTTCAGCAGCTCATAATATAGTAGCTCCAACTGAAACAACATTAACAACTCCATAAGGCAATTTTGTGCTGACACACTGGTAGGAAAGAAGGCCTTACTACCATTAGAATAGCCTTTAAATGAGCTCTAGGTTATGTTTGACTAAATTTGTTCCATGTTTCCCATCCCAGATGCTTTCCTTAAGTTTCTGGAGGAGTGCATGTGGGGGTCCAAGAAAGTTTTTAGCACACCAAATTCAGCAGAAACAGACAAATAACATTCTACTGATTATGGGTAGAAAATAAGACAAAAATAGAAAATAGAAAATAAACAACTAAAAAATCCCAATTGTCCCAAAGAGATACCAAAAGAAAAAGAAAAATATGCATATGTATGGGTATGTGTGTGTGTATCCATATATAGAGAACAATAGCACTAGCATTTAGATTATATACCGCTTCATAGTGCTTTAAAACACTCTCTAAGAGGTTTACAGATTCTGCAAATTGCCCCCAACAATCTAGGTCCTCATTTTACTGACCTCGGAAGGATAGAAGACTGAGTCAACTTTGAGCCAGTGAGGATCGAACTCCTGGCAGTGAGCTGAATTAGACTGCAATACTGCATTCTAACCATTGCACCACCATGGCTCTTTATATACAGAGAGACAGATTTTATAAAGACCAGTAAATGCTCAGCTCCATTTAGTCACCCCAACTCCACCCTGAAACAAGGGATTAAAGCAGTGGTGGGATTCAAATATGTGAACAACCGGTTCTCTGTGTGGATGCTGCTTCCAGAAGTCCCTTCTGGGCCTGGGCAACAAAAAATTAGCTACCAGTTCTACCGAACTGGTGCGAACTGGCTGAATCCCGCCACTGGATTAAAGGGTCATAAAAGGAAAAAACAACAACGCTTCTTTATATAATGTTTTCATTTGGGTTTGAACAGAAGTAAATCTATTAAGCTCTGTTTAAAATCAATTTGAAACAAGCTTATTGGGAAGATAAATGGATACAAAGAAGTGTTGTTGTGAAGGGATGGAACGATGCTTGAAGCTGTTCTAATTGCAGCATACAGCAAAAGTTGGCGTTTTCACATTTGCACGTTTCAGCCATTTTCCTGTTTTGATGGTGGGAGTAACTTCCCTTATATAATGAAGTAGTTTTAAAATATTATGCAACAGGAAAATTTAAGAGCTACTTTTTAAGCATCCCTTTCAAAAGATAAGACATACTTTTGGATTATTGAACCGCTGAAAGTCTGGAACATACTGATTTCCTTCACATGGCCCATCTGGATAGAGACCACTTGTTTCTTGGATTACCTGTGGGGGGGGGGAAAGCATGATGTAAGCAAGTTCTTGTCTTATGGCCAGCTACATCTTTTATTTTCTTCTGTGCCAAAAAACGTTTAAACTGAGTTATGTTTAACTGAAACATAACTCAGTTTAAACAAAGCAATTTTGAAATTAGAGATATAGAAGTTGAGCTGTTTCAGAAAGCTCTGCTTGAAAGTGAAGCCTAGAACATATACAGTATATAAACAGCACACCAAATCAGAGGATGTGCTGGGCAATCCCCACCATTGTTCTACGCTAATTAGGAATGATTTCTTACGCAACAGTCTCTGGGCAGTCAGTAGAGATATCAAGATGAAAAACACTACATGTGCCAACAACATTTTTTTTAAAAAAAACCTCCTCTTCCACCTATTAGCAGATGAAAATTATTTTAGTTTCTGTGCTATACTGACCACTCTAGATTAAATCCAATCATGAGAGGTGCAGAAGATTACCCCAATTTGAGCTGACAAAGTAACCTTGTGTTATACCAAGATGAGTGCATACATGTATTTTTTGCTGTGGTTAGTTTAATTTAGAAACAGGGGCTTGGTACTTTGCCAGCCAGTGTTCTTGTGCTTTTAAAAGATTTACCAAACAGCATGTACTTGCTTTGTACTTGGACCTTTTTACTTGACTATAAATTATTAAGAATTTCCTTGTGTTTTCACAGCTACTTCAGTTCAGAGGTCTTTGGCATGGAAAATCAAGATGCAGAAAAATCAAAATAATAAGTACAGGAATATCAAATAGCAAGGGCATGGCCACATAACATTGAATATTTATCCCCTGAAAAGCTTAGAAGCACAGTAACATGTAAGTAAATCTAGAACATAGAGGACCAATTGTAAGCACCATTCACTCAGTGTCATCATAACTTTAAATGATTGCTGAGTGAGTGGTCATAACCCGAGAACTACCTGCATAAAATTTAAATTAATGTTATTGAAAATTCTCTAAAAATATTTTAATTTAAAATTACTTTAACAAGGAGCTATGCTCTTCTAATTCATACATTTGCCCTTGGGCTCCAATGAAGTATATTTCATAAATATATGGTTTCTTTTCCTAAAGGCATTGTGTGTTTAAGGGGGAGCCTTAAATCACATGACTGGTAAAGCACAAGAACGCTGGCTGTCAAGTTCAGTGTTGGCATTTGCAATTGAGGCTTCAACAAATCTCCGCAACCTGGAGTAATAAAAATTGCAAAGAAAAAAAGGCTCAACTCACTCTGAGCCATTGTTCTGCCTGGTCTTTACTTTGCAAACCCAAGACGATCACATCTGCATTCATGGGGATGATCTTCAGCTTATGTTCCTGCTTTCTTAGATTCTTCTCCTTGTGAATGACACTGCAACCCACCAAATTAACATCCAGCTGAGGATTATGGTCCTTGGAAGTCTTGTAACACTGGGAACAAAAGCAATATAGTAAGATTATTATTTTCTTTAAAATCATTTAAAACATTTGTTCAGCTGTTCATCTGAAAACCAACTCTTGGGTGGCTTACAACCAATCAAACAAGAAATAATCATAAAACAAAAAATGATAAAACTAAAAGAAAAAAGAAAAAACTGGGCCTACAACCGCACTTCCCAGATGGCACTCACAATAGTCTCATCCCACTCTGAACTCACCCTGTTGCAACCCTTGGGGGGAAGAGCCAGGTCTTAATTGCTCTCCTGAAGGTTAAAAGGAGGAGAGCTGTTGGATCTCAGGACAGAGGTTACAACAGAAAAGGCGTGCTTCTAAGGACCCACAAATGGAAATGTTTAAGAGAAAGGACCTGGAATACACCTCCCCTATCTATTCTGGTGGACGGGCAGATACCTCAGATAGAAGAATTTGTACAGTAACATAGTCTCAAGCCATGTTTAAGGGGGGCTAAACCTACCTAACATCGATATGTCTAAAGAGGTAGGCTTGCTATTTACAGCAGGGGTAGTCAACCTTGGCTCTTTTATGACTCGTGGACTTCAACTCACAGCTGGCTCAGGAATTCTGGGAGTTGAAGTCCACGAGTCATAAAAGAGCCAAGGTTGACTACCCCTGATTTACAGTGTGTCCCAGGTAATAAGTAATATTTATTTAAAGTAAAGCCAACTGCCATGTGTTTCAGGTGAAATTATGAAATGAATGATTCATGAAATAATGAATGAAAACAGAATTGCTGGAGATTAGAAAGCAAAACTTAAAGCTATCCAATAAAGATTAGAAGGAAGGCCTCTACCAATCTTCACATTTAATACAAATTTGTATTCACATTTAATACAAATTTTACATGTGCCATGTAACTAAGTTTAGATATATTCAAGCATGCATTCTCATCACTAATGTTGAAATGATACTTGGAGGAGGGGGATGGGGAAGCAGCTTGTTATTTACCTCAAGCATTAAAACCTCTTGATTACAGTATTCCTTTGTCTAACCCTATACTATACTTCTCCAACAAGAGTACATATAATTCATGCATGCTTCTTTCTCAACAAATATATTGGAATATGGAATAGAGCAGTGGTTCTCAACCTTTTTAATGCCGCGACCCCAACCGGTCGTAAGTCGAGGACTAAACCGGTCGTAAGTCGAGGACTAAACTGGTCGTAAGTCGAGGACTTTCCCTGCCCGGGAGCGCCGCGCATGTGTGGTTCCGCCCCCTGCGCCGGCCGAGGCATAGCTGGCAAGTGGCAGAGACGGAGCAGGCCGACCACCAGCTGGCCCAGCCTAAGGGAGGTAAGGCACCCACCGGAAAAGGGGAAAAAATGGTGGACAAAAAAAATGGACAAAAAAATGGCGGACAGCCTTGCTTGGCGACCCCCGTGAAATGGTCGATCGACCCCAAATGGGGTCCCGACCCACAGGTTGAGAACCACTGGAATAGAGTAAGAGGTGACAAGGGTTACCTTGGCTCTATATTTCTGGTTGCTTCCCTGCCTCATACTATGAACCATACTTGTTAAAACTCCTTCATGTTCCTCCTTCCTTATCTGCCCAAATAGCTCTTTTGCAAACACTTCTAGTCTTGAGAACCATTTGCTCTTATTTCAAGAACGGAAAACCAAGAACCTCTCTTAAATGACTGTCTGAGGTAGAATAGTAAAATTTGTAGTCCAAAACGTCTGAAAATTACATATCCTTAAAGTAAAGTTGCCTTCACATCCTATTTACAGGCTACCCAAAAATATTTGTTTGCTTACCAGGAGGAAGGAATTTCGTAGATGAAATAGCCCCTTTGGATTTATTTGCCACTTCTATTTTCTGAATTCTTCATTTTTAAAATTTTAACAGAAAAAACTTCAAGAATAATTTAGATTTTAAACATATTTTCTGGCTAAATACTTACCAACAATCTGTTTTCTTTAATCATGCAAAGCTGCTTGGCCCACTGGCCTAACCATTTCTTTCGCCAGAGAAAAGCACAAATCCGGGCATCTTTCATAAGTTCAATAGATGCTTCGGGTGATGGCCACTGATGAGGGGCTGATCTGCCTTTACTGCTCTCTTCCTCATCATAGGATTCATAGGAGCTGCTGACTGCTTCATCATCTGCATCCAAGGGAAAAAAAGACCATTTACATTTACATCCGGGTTAAAAAGGGATTAGTTTTTTCTATCGTTCACTAGGTAAGTGCCAAAGCATCCCAATATGTATAACTAAGATAACCAGAAGTCAAGATGACTTGAGAACTTGTAAAATTTAAACCATTAAATGTTCAAGAAAATATGGCAACTTTACCCCATTCTATTTTGATCAGCATGCAGAAGTTCACTATCCAATCCAATTTTTAAATTTGATAACAACAGCCATCTCGTGTAGGCTGCAATCATCTAATATAATATACTTGGAAAAGTGAATGGCATGAATTACATTCATATGAAATAATTGTTAACGTGCTATCAGTTAGTTTTGACCCCTAGAAAACCCTTGCATTAATTTTGATAGAATTATTACACTAATAATTTGAGTATCTGTATAGTCAACAGTCCTATTTAATTAATCCAACCAAGCTGTAGTGGTATGAAATAAATATCACAGTGACATGTTTTAATAATATGCATATTACACATGGTTTTTATTCAGTTTGAAGTTACATAATATATCACTTTTATAAATTCTATGTTCTGCTACATCATGCAAACTGATAACCTTCAAAAGTCTTAAGATTTCAATATCCATACTCTTAGAATAGCTAGTAACAAAGAACTGTAACTTATCTTACTGTCAGGACCCACCTCAACACCTCATCCCAAGAAAGCAGAACTCATGGAAGCAAGCTCTTCCAAAAGGAACTTTTATTAGGAGAAGCTGACTAGACAGGATCTGAGGAACTCCTGTACAGATCAATGGGTTAAGTATCCCCAAGCAAACCCCACCCCATAGTTCATCCGGACG